AGTTGGGGTGCTACCAGGAAAACCGGTTTCATGTTCCTCAAATAACCTAAAACCAGGTAGAGCTAAATCTTTATGTACTTAACTAACCTAACTTTTCCAGAACTGATCCTGATGTTCAAGAGTTTGGGCAACTTTGCTTTTAAGCTGGGTGCTAGTTCAGTCCAACAATGAGTCTCTGCGTTTTCCAAGCAGAGTATTGGAATACGCTTCCAGATATTAACTTGCTGAACTTCCTAAATCTAGTGGATTTAGCAGGACTGTCAGAAAGATAGGGCAGCGCACGGTCAGTTTTAAAAGCCTATCCCATTCCATAATCAAAGCAAATATCATTTCTAATGACAGACAGGAAGGCAAAAGCCATAGAAGAAGATGAGCATTAGCTTGATGACCTTCTCATGGTCCATTAGAAAACTGCCCACAGATAATACTGAGTCTGCAGAAGGGGAGGTGAAGCATCTGGTTCTCTAGAATTAAAGGAAAACAACAACAAAAAAAAAAGAAGAAGGAAAACCTTGACTCTCACCCTGATGTCTCTTTGTAGGGGGAGGCTGATGTCTCACTGTGCCATGTACATGTCATAGCTGCTGGCAGGCAGTGCTGTGTCCCCTCCTGCCCCTTCCCTCCCTCCGCACCAGGCTGCAGTCTTCCAGCACTGACCTATGCTCCCAGTTTGGTTTGTTCTTTTATTTTCCAGGGGATAAATCAAGTAGATTTGCGAGCAGGGAAATTGCCAAAGCCTGGTTGCTTATGGACTGGTGCTTTCGAGACTTTTGTTTCTCCTCACCTTTCCAAGTGTCCAAGTGACGTAAAGATGGGAGGAGAGGAAAAAGGGAGCAGCACAAACAGACGTGAACATTTGTCTGTAGTGATTCTCTCTGGTCTAAGACAAGGGAACTCAAACAGCACCTCCCCCCAGTCCAGGCATCTGTACAGTCCCTCCTCTGTTTGACTGTCAGCTTTTGTTAAAAAAGGTAAGAGCTCTTCAAGCTCTTTTCAGTTTCGGTTGGGAATGAGTTCAGATGTTACCCGGGTGCACACTGGCACAGTGTGACCGCCGGTGCCTTGATTCCACAGGAAAAACAGCTAAACCATTTCTTTCAGAAATATGGAGATAATGTGGGATACCACTCTTAGGGTGTAAAAGCTGACGTTTAAAGAATATTGACATTAATACCAAAACTGTTGCATTACAAGTTACAGTCAAGCTAAGGGAATAGCTGAGCAGCCGATTACAGCAGTTCTTTTACTGCTCTGAAGTATTATTTCGGAGTCACAGGCTGTTCCTGGGAGCCCAGATCCTGCCCTTGCTCTGCTGCTGTTACAGAAGCTCTAAAAACTGATAAGGGGATTGAGTCTTGATCCCTGCGGCTGGCTCTGCACAAGAAGGAAGATTCCTGCGGCTTCATTGAGACCCAGCAACTTCCAGATCCAGCAAATCAGCCAGAGAGAGAAATATCCCGTACGAAAAAAGAACTGGTGCTGTGACCTGAGCAGACCGCGTGCGCTTGGGTCAAAAAATAAAAGGTAATCTCTCTGCACAAATCAAAAAATAATCAGGTGGAACATCCTGGGACAAAAATGTTGAACTTCTTTCATGGGGCTCTCCCATCTGTTTGATGTCTCTAGGCTCGCTGAGGCTGTCACATCAAGAGGGACAGCCCTGAGCTGCATTTGGGTGAGGAAGCACTGTGGCTGGAAACGAAGAGAAGCAAATGGGTTTTTGTTTCCGCTAATCTTGCCAAGGGACATAAGGATGGGAGGAGAGGGAAAAAGGGAATTGCAGGTTTCAAGGTGCAGCTCGTCTCTGCCCCCCCAGCACCGAAGCACACCTGGGCAGCTGTGCCAGGCGCTGCACTTCAAGGATGTGCTGAAACTGCTGCCTGACTCGGTCACTTCATAAAGGTACTGTTTTTCCATGCGTTCCTCTGCGTTGCTTTCCTACATCTTCTAAGGAGAATTCAAAGCAGTCTGTGTCTCTATTTTTTCCAAATACCACTTTTTTAAGCCTGCATGCTGGAATCCCTGCCCTTAAAACACACATAATCTGAGTTACACTTAATTTATGGTTTCTGCTGCTCTCCTTGTGCAGCACGACCACTGCTCCTGACATATTCCTTACCTCTGCCTCGCTGCTACTATTTGCTGCTCTTGCTGTAAATCTTCCTTAGGATTTTTAAACCAACAGAGCTACTTCCTTTTCCATTTGATGTAATCCTTCCTGCGGTACAGCAGGGAAAGGGCCCAGTGGAGGGCGGGAGTAGTCAGGACTGTCACTACCCAATTTATATGTCATTTTCTCTTCGTAGCATTGATGTTTCAGATGCAGAACCAAAAGCAACCCTGTGTGGAAATCCTCCAGAGATTCCTCTGTTCTACCTCCCCAGGGGCTGGGAAGGGGCCAGGACCGCTGGGAGCAGGGCTCCCAACCGGGCTCCCAGCCCCAGGCACTGGGGATGCTGGAGAATAAATACATTCCTTTCAGGAAATGCGACAGAGAGACATTTGACATAATTGATTCAGTTCATAAGAGATGCTCATCAGCATGGAAAGGACAACATGTAACTATGCAATTTCAGTACAGTGGGTGTTTCGCTTGTTTCTTTTTCTTGTTTTTCTTTCCACTTGCTGTAAAAACAGGCAAAGCTTTGCAAATGAAAGTCTCATCCTGAAACTCCTTAAATTTTCTTTTGAGGGGCAACTGTACGTTGCCAGCGTCAGTAAAGGACGCAGGGAACTTGGTACACATTTTCACAAGAAATTTGGTTTACCTGTATTATTGGTTTTGGTGACAAAAGCCAATCCCCCCCCCCTCCCCCCATCCCAGAAAGCTGCATGAATGCACATACGACGTACGCACGGTCTGTTTGCTCCGATGGACGAGTTTGTGCGCAACTCTGGAATTGAATTTGGCTTTGAGTTGGAGCTGGTATCTTGCCCCAAATAGTCCTTCTCCCCGGATCCAGTGTTTTATTCCCTTTTCCTGATACCTATATTTCAACGGTGCTAGAGGAAGTGGCTACCTGCAAGCAAACCAAACGTTGCTCTTTGCAGGAGGTAGGTACTGAAATTGCATTTTTACAGTTTTTGAGAAAATAATGGGATCAAAGCAAGGACTTTGTTTATCACATGAAGCTGGATTCACTTGGTTAGGATAATGACTTTTAATTATCGGCAGGGAAAGGTGGTTTGGCTGCTGCTGACACAGCGGACAGACATGTGGGCTGCAACCCTGTGTCGAGGGGAGATCAGCACTGACTCCACTCAACACAAGATCAACACCCTGGAGCATAAAAATCAGAGTAACAAACTTATTTTACATGTATTTGTGATTAGACACAAAGACAAAAAGCTTAGCTGATATGCTGAATACTGATTAGGTCTGTAAAGTCCCAACGCTGTGGTTAGTTCACATAAAAAAACCTTTGCAGGTTTACATACCTCATTGTACCACACAACCTTTTTTTGTTTTATTATCTCCAGTATCAGTCTCAACCTCTGCTTTAAACAAAAGAGAGACACTAAATTTATCTGATCATGGCAAGGCAAATGTAACAACAGGGAACTTTTTATGATGAAAACATTGTCTAGTAGCAGAGACATTCCTAAGATGCCATCCCCAGATGTCCAGGGAGCCCCGTGGCTTTTTTTTTGGGGGGGTCAGTTCCTTAAGCCAGAAATACTAATTTCAGATGTCAGGAAAGCATCACCATGGCTGGGAGTGTGGGGTGCTCCCGTTGCTGCAGCTCCTCCTGCTGCCTCTTGGGAAGCAAGTTTGGGAACCACTGCTCCAGGAAACCACTTCTGATTTGTGGCTTGTTTTTTAACTATGGGAAAGTGGCATGTTTAGAAACATAAATGAATGTGAATAACTACAACCTCAGGGTATGCCGGCATTATAAGGGTAAGTCCCTCTCTGGTAGATGCTCAACCCGTGTTGTCTTTCTCAACAGTGGATATTCAAACCCTCTCTTCCTTTCTCCTTCACCTTCCTTGGAAGGAAAAGCATTAAACATTGATAAAAAGAGACTTCCACCACTCTTCTGCCCATTTGTTTGACCTCAGGATCTTGCAGAAAGCTGGCTTTGGACAGTATATTGCATCTTTCTAAAGGCTGACAGACCCACATGTCTTCTCTATGAGGAACCTCTAATTTGGGATTAATTACCCACCCAAGGGTGGCTTCAGCTCGGTAGAGTCTGAGGGACTTGGACATGCCTCCCATGTTTGGGACTGGCTGTGGATGTTCGCTGTGAGGCAGAGACCTGGGTGGCTCCACACCTTCGGCAGCTGAGCTCTCTCCCGGCACCAGCTGGGCAGACCAGTGCGAGGGACTGGTTCATCTGGCCAAATATAAGCCTTCACACAAGCATCAAGCATCTTGCTTGAGCACACAAGATGCTCCTCTTTAATTCTTGGCTTTCTCCCTTTACCCTGCAGCAATGGCTTGAGGGCCTGATGTTCAGGAGCCACCTAAAGCACCCCTGGGGCAGGTTGTCAAGTCACTGCAGGCAAAGTGCTCTTGCCACGAGGCTTAGGAGAGGAAAAACCAAACAACCCCACGGCAGCACTAATGCTGCTGCCTTTATGTGCTTATAAGTAGTTGAGAGGGGGTGATCGCTGATTAAGTACCCAGTATTAACTGCTCTTAATCACTGCTCTGGAGTCTAATGGAGCTCTTGTTTGCACATAACTGTGCCTTGTAGCTGTCTTTAGCACACTTGACAGATGTGCTTATTGCCATCTTTACTGCATATGTGTAATGGGCTTTTTAATTATTGATTCATCATTACCCCTTTATAAACTACTTATAAATGTCAAGAGAACGAACAATGCTTGTGTTTTTCTTTTCAAATCTCTTTCAGGTTTAAAAAAATAACAGCGTGGCTCTAGGGGCAGGGGGTGTTGGACCTCGAAGTGAGGAGGAACAGATATACACAAATATATGGGGAATCCTCCCCAGTTTAACACAGTCCCCAAAGACTATATATGAAATAGGCTACCTGAGTAGCTTTTGCTGTGCCTCTTCTTCTTCCTCCGTTTCCCAGATGGCCTCTGCTTTTCCCTGTCGGTGTGAGTTTGCCCTGGGGGGAGCGTTGCCGAACAAGAGGAGTCGGTGGCTGGCTCCTCCGAGAAGGACTTCTCTTGAGAGGTGTCCAACAGCGAGTCTGTACCAGGGTCTTCATTTTCCTTCACCATCTCTTTTGACTCTGCCCGATCAGCCTCATCGCAGGGAGCGTAATGAGTGCTGCCAGGGTCAACTCCGGTCCCGCTCAGCCGGGTTTCTGGCTCCTGCGCCAGCCTGTAGCTCTCCGAGCCATCAGCTGGGCATTCCTTCTCCTGGCCTTCTGAGATGGACCCATTGAGTTGGTCTCTCAGAGCAGTGCCCGAACTGCTGCTCCCAAACCTTATCCCTGTGCCTATGTTAGCAGCAGAGAAGGCAACGGAGCCGCTCGTTGTGCTGGGCTGGAGGCTTGCCCAACTCTCTGCCTGCTCCATCCCGGCACCTGGCGTGGGCTGACTGGCCCCGTCAGCCTCCACCAAGCTTACCAAGGGGCTTTCCGTCCGTGATGCTGGTGGCAAATTTCCTCCAGCATTGTTTTCAGATAACGCCTGGTTTGAAGCTGAGGCGTTTGTAACATCTCCACTGGTCTCCATCAGGGCAGTGGTTGAGGGGGGAGTGCTTTCCGAGGGATGACCACTGTTGTTTTGCTTGGTCTTATCATCGATCTGCTTTGCTGCTGCTGGTGGATCCTTAATGCTTTTTCCTTTAAATAAAAAACATGCAATCAGCCACAGCTGCAGAGTTACACCTGGGATCAGCCAAGGTGCTTCTGCCACTGGAACAGGCTACGGGCAAGCAGCTGCCTGTGGAGGGTGCACTGACCCTAAAGCAGCTGAGGCAGCACCATTTTATCTTCTCTATACCTCCCCTCCTTATACCTGCTGTGGTCATCGAAATTGGATGCCAAAGCTCCAGCTCGGCAAAGCCCCTGCTCTGTTTTCAGCAGGTGTTTATATGTCTTTGCTGCCAACCAGCTGATTTCCACGGAAGCCCCCAGACTCACAAGGGTGCCTGAAAGCCTACAGCAGGAAGAGGGCTCTGCAAGGTCCGGAACCAGCTGGGACTGCTGGCTTGGTCTGTATGAGAACTTCAGAACTGCCCATCAACCAGCTTAATCCTGCCCTTGCAGAGCCAGTTTAGGAGAGCCACAGTGCACAAGTCAGGCTCTATGGTAGACCAATGTCCTTGGACTTATCTAACGTGCACTGACACCAGGGTCAAGAGATCAAAGAGAAGCTAAACCCATGGGCTGTCTCCTAACAAGCACCTAAAGGACTTCGGTCCTTCTGCACATAGAGTTTTCTAATCTTTTTTTAAGGGCTTCTTTAGACTCCTAAATGGAGACTAAGACAGGGCACAGCAGTCTCCAAGGCAGTGACAAGCTGTGCTACTGAGACTTGATAGCACAGAGGGGACTCGTGGAGATGACACCAGCGCCCCATCAGCATGGTTCTGTGGCTGACCCGAGGACTGTGCCTCTCAGAGGGTTTATCAGCATGGGTGCAGGGCCATGCTGCTCCAAACCGCTGCTAATTCTGGGACAGACCTGGCTGGCAACAGCTCAGGCCTCTCTGCTCCTCTTCTCCATGACACTGGCTGCAAAGCCTCCTTAAATAAAATGCCCCAAATGCAAACGCGGAGGCTTCTTGCTTGTGTGCGTGGCTGAGGCTGAGAGGCAGATGGGAATGAATAGCTGCAGGTACAGTCGGGTCTGTGTCCTTACCAGACTGGCTGTCCTCTGGGCTCTCCACGGGCAAGGTTTTAGGAATTGCATCCGACTCGTGTCTGTTCTTCGTCTTTCTCAGCGTGAACCCTTTCCTTATGTCGGCTAGCAGCGCATCGATGACGCACACCTCCTCCTGCTTCACCACCCCCTTCTTAACTGGGATAGAGAGAGACGGGTGTTAAATCTGCCCAGGACAAAAGGCAGAAGGAGACTCTGCAGTGATGCTGGTGCTTGGGCTGGGTACCTCTGTCCTGGCACAAGCAACCACTGGGCAAAAGCAAGGCACTGATGCCCGGCCTGGGAGCAGCCGTGCTCCGTGTCCCCACAGCAGTGTGTCCTGGCTGAAGTCAAAGGGTTTACCCCAAAGCCTGGGTGCTACAGGCTGGCACCGGGGGGCGGGGGGGGGAGGGATGAGGGGAAAATAATCTTGATTTTTCTCTCCTCTCAGCTTCTTCCAATTGTACTTTTCAATTCTGCTTTTCGTTTTCACCCAGAGAAAGGCAGATTTAAGTTATCTGCAAGATTTTTGGGACATCAGTAGTCTTGTGCTAAAGAGAGACTATTCAAGTGTATATGGAGATTTTGGAGGGGGGAGAAGTCAAATGTTTCTTGTTAGATTTGGGATTCAAAAGTTATGTTTAGAAACCAAAAAGGTTAACTGAAGTGTCTCAACTGGATTTTTTTTTCTCTGCTGTTCAGTCAGAAAACCTAAAATTAACTTCTCTGTGCAGCTGCAACTGTGAGAAGTCAATTCTTAGCTGTGGCTGTATGACACCTAAAAGCCTTTAGTCAGCCAGCATGTAGAAACCCACAAAATAAATTACTGTTACTGGTCCATTAAAGCAGGACCAGCAAAGAGCTCCTATCAGCTCCATCTCTCTTTTTTGAAGCCCTTTCAGATACTCACTGATTTTTCCATTTTCTCCCTTCTGTCTCTTCCCCTCTTCCTCTTCCAGCTGTTTCTTCCTCTTCTCTGCTTTGGCAGCTTGCTCCTTTCTGTCCTTGTTTTCCTGCAGTGAGGTAACAGGGGCATGAGAAGGTTGGCTAAAAGTCTACTAGAAAAGCCGACGAAGAGAAAGAAGATCTGCAGACGGTTGCAAAGGAGGAAGAGAAATTCTGTCCTTATCCTGTGCAATAAATAAAATTGGCATGGGGAGAAAGGGCTGTGCTGCCAAGAGGGTGAGAGGGAAACCGCTGGCTTGGCCAGGACTCTGCCACATCCTAGTAGAAGGTGGCAATGGTGATGTGCCTAACAAAGCTACCTACCAGTGTGCAGATCTTCTGCCTGACCTTTACCTGAGGCAAAAATGGAAGGTACTGAAGCCACAACTTCCTCCAAACTGGTGGCTTTTTTACTATACATCCCCTTTTTTAGTCTGTTTGCTCAGGCTGGAGCTAAGGGTTAAGTTTTATAAGCCCATTCCTCTAAAGCTTACGCACTTGACTCCAAAGCATCTTTGTGACTCTGCAGATGAAGCTGCACCAAAATCGCACATCACCAGCATCTCGGCCAGGCCAGGAGCACCAGCGCTGCAGGAGGATGCGCTGGAGCAGGGATCAGGCACCCCTTCCCCTGGTGACCTCATGCCAAGTGCTGAAAGTAGGTGGCCATAACCAGCACCTTCCCCCCACCAGATTTGGGTGCCCATCCCACCCTTGTCTGTCAGCACGGAGGCATGCACCAGTACTGGGGCTGCTCAGCATCATGTGCCAACCTTCAGGGCTCGGATGAAGAGATCTCTGAAGGTCTTCATGGTGCTAAATATGTCCTCTAAGGACAACTTGCTTGGGTCTTCACAGAGATAATTTGCAAGTTCTTCTCTCTTCCTTTCAATGGTTTCAAATTCTTCTTCCAGCTTTCTGGAGGCATCAATGCTATCCTGCAATGCATTTAATATACACAGTAAAACACCATCCAGAGGACAATAAGTGAAGTGCACTAAAAGAAAAAAGGATGTCAGTGTAAGAGCTTGGAGCAGAACTCTGGGCCCTGGCTTTTAACTGCAGCAGAGCTTATAAGGTGGGAAGAAACTAAGATCTGTAGTTGATCTTTGCTCCCGGCGGCTGTGCTGTGCCAGCTTACAGGGGTGGCTTGAGCAAGACGTGGAAAGCTCAATGCAATCCTTAATCCCAAGAGAAGGGCTTTACTCTGGTGATCCACACAGAGGGTAAACATCTTCACTCAAAGCGAGGAGTCACACAACAGACTGTAAAGAACAGCTGGGACAGGGTCCTTAAGAAATGGCCTCACCAGAGGTATCTAGTTTTGGGGTAGGGGTGGCAAATGAATACTCATGGGTTGTGTGGCATCACAGGCTATTTCCAAATCTGAGAGCATGTCTTGTGGCAATATTTTCCACCCTCTCATGAGCTTCCTCAGCTACATATGCACTGCGCGCTGCCTCCGCGTGTATAATGTGGGAGATGTAAGGGGGCAGCTCCAGTACTGACCTGGATAGGTTTCTCATACTGTTGTTTCACATCATCATTTGATGATAAGACTTTTCGCTGAAGCTCCAGCAACTTCTTTAAATTGGTACTGGACTCCGTACGTATAATATCAAGATTAATTCTGAAATCACACAGAACCCCCCATTAGTTGTTGCTCCAGCATCCTGCGCTGACCAAAGAGAGGACAAGTCTGAGCTGGCAGTTCCACTGTCCCTCTGCTTCCCACCACTTCACTGAACTGGAACCTGAGCTCCGAACTCTCTATACAGTCCGAGCTGATGAAAAACAGACTTTCTCCACAGCACTTATGAAAAAGCTGCCAGGTCTACCTACAACTTTGTGTATTGAGTAGATGAATGCCCCCCCAACTCCACCCATTCAAAGGGCTGTTCTCCACCTTCAGAGCTCAGCATTAGCTCACTTCCCCTGGCTGAAGGCACTTCAGAAATGCTTCTGGGTAGCTGGCCTACAGAGGTTTCTGCTACCACAAAGGCAGTGCAGATTTTGGAATAGCTTGGGAGCAGCATTAACTGAATGCTTTGCAAATTTCAGCCCTAAGTGTTGCCAGCTGTAGCAGAACTATTATATATTAAAGGGGTTTCAACATTCATCAACCAAATCTTTCGGTTAAAGCTAAGTAAGATACCATCTTGTTAATGTGTTCTACCAGCTGTGTGTGTGCTAATTTCTGGTACATTGTTGATGTGTATGGGATTTATTTTTGTTTTTAATTTGAAGGAAGTGACACACAATTTTACCCTGCTGCTTTTGAAACATATTCAAGATCCTTTGGCAGTTCCAGTAGGTCCGTGTGGCTGTTTTCTACTTCCTAAAGCGGAAGAGAGAAAGAAGTATTATTTTCTGTGTGTCAGGACATGAGAGGAAGCTGGGGGCAAGAGACATGGGCAGATGTGCCCGGGAAGGACGATTACGCCATGTCCTGCTGCTGCCCCCCCTCTGCAGTTTGCTTTGCCTCACAGAGCTGAGCCGCATTCAAAACAGGATGACACTTCCTACAGTCCCAGGAGGGTATCAACAGGGCTTGAATCTTATTTGCGTGATTTACTTTCATGGCTGTGGTTGCTGAAGCTACTGCCAGCTAAAGCGGGGCTTGAACATGCATAACTGGAATGGAGGGACCTTGATGAATGAAGGTGGCAGAGCAGAGCATGGAGAAAAGAGAAAATACCCCAGCAATGCAGGGAATAAGAAAGCTATGGAGGTTGGAGGGGAACATGAAAAGCTCAAGCATAGTCAGGTGGAAAAGGGAGAGGCCGTGGAAAGGCAGAAGGGCTGAATGGGTACAGACCAACCAGGATAGCTTTGGTAGCCATGTGCTGTGTGGTTCACAGCTGATGATGTGCAGATTGCACAAATATGAAAAAGGAAGTTCAGCCATTGCGGGGAAAGATGCTGGAGGAAAGCAGAACAAGTCTTAAAATAAAGAGCTCCCTGAGTGGTGCCCACAAGCAGCTTCCACCAGCCTTAGTGATTTGAACTGTCCCAACTTGTGACACTCCGTGGCTAGCCAGGGAGGATACGGATACGAGCGTGTGGCATTAACTGCAAGTAGAGTAGGAGAAATGGTTCATCCATGATAAAATCCTCCTCCTTCCCTATTGCCCAGGACTTGGCAGTAGTACCTCCAGAATATGGTGGAGCAGCGTAATGCGGGTTTGGTTTGCTTTGGTTTCTGTTAGTTTGAGTAAAGTGCTGATTTTAAACCCGTCGGCATCGCCTGTGTGACTTCCCTACAAGACAGAAGGAAAGCAGATGTAACTCCTGTGTCCACCCAAATTACAACCCTAAAGGAAATCATCTACGTACTGTAATGGGGGGAGGAGAAGACAAAAGAAGTCCTTACGTAGTTCAGAAAGTTTCCAACTTTGAGAATCAGCTGACAGAAGAGCGGCAGGCGGTGACTGTTCAGAAGATCTGAAAAACATAAAGGACAAAAGCCTCTGTTACACCAGAACATTTCTTAAATTGTATTGGAATTAGGCTTCTGAATTCCACCAAACCAAATCTGATTTTTCAGTTTTGCAGCCCAATGCCCTGACCTGCAGAGACACTGATTTAATTCCATGAGTTGGGCTTAATAGAATTTTTTGTGACTTACGTTTCCTTCTTTCTTTACATCTGGTCTCTCATCCCTAATGGAAAATAACTGGAGTTGGACCCTCCTCACTAACAGCCATCAACTCACTGCCGTCCTTGGAAGTACCCTGATTTGCCCTGGTGTGGGTGAGGGTAACTGGGCCGTAATTTTAATCTTGCAGACTCTGTTCAGCTGTGCAGTGAAGCCACTTCTGACGACCCTGTGATTATCTGCCAGCTGCTAAAACCAGACACGCTTGCCCCGTTCTTGGTCTCGCATGGTGGAGGTGATTATCAGGGCATGAAGGGTACAGTCCCCGTCCTTGCTCTTAGGACAGGGTGCTGCAATGGTGTGCTTTCTGAAGCACCTACATCTGAGGCAAGAACAGCTCCAAAAGGACAAGTGGGCTGCTGGGAAGACACGTTTTTTGGGGAAGCTTCAATTTATCCCAGCAGGCAGCTGTAATTCTGCTGGGAACCCCCCAGCAGGAGTTGGGGGAACTGGCTCTTTAGGACAGGTGGCACTTGACAGTGCCAAGAAGAGCATCCTGTTCTCAGCAGAGTGAGACCTGAGGTTTCTGCCACAGGAAGCTGAAACCTACTGCATAATCTCTCAATGTACTCACAAAATTGGAGCATCAGCAATTTATAGCCCAAAATAACAAACTTTTTCTTCTGGTTCCATTCGTAGGCAGGGAAAAAAAAACTACCTTCTAGGGGAAGTTTGGGTTGTGCTTTTCTGGCAGCAGAGAAAATTGTTGTGTGAAGGTCTTAACGTGGCAAACAATGCTGGATGAATTAGCTGTAACGGGGCCAGCCCTGCTGTCTTTATTCGGCTTCTTTCAGAGAGCTGACAAGCTTCCAGTGCTTCACTGTTCAAAGTGTTTCAGAGGAATACAGCTGCTGCAGAAAAAGAGGCCTGAGGGCGAGGGAAAATGATCTCCGGTCTTATTAAGGACTCAGACCATCAGTGGAGATACCTAGGGATGCATCCCATATTCTGCAGCGAGCCAGTGAATGGACCACAGGGGTGTTTTTTGGGGGCTGGAGATACTCATTGCAGAGCTCCAGGGGAGTTTTTTTTGGGGGGATTACAGCTTCCTGTCATAAATAAGATCCAGAAATAAGGTCAGGTCATTTACCTTCACAGGCTCTCCGGATAGCTTCAGCTTTTGGCTGAATCATATCCAGCACAACGGTGGTCTCTTCGCAGATCAGCATACACTCAATGCGCAGCTGGTAGCTAAGGATGGAGATTGATTCAAAACTTAAAGACACTGTGATCTCAGCCAGCACAGCAGCCCTCTTCCCAGATCACTGGTAAGTCTGGCAACCCCACAACATGGCTGTCAACCACATCCACATCAAACCAGTGTCTGTGGCTTGTGGAAGGAGGCGAAGGACTTCTGCTTGCCTTGGGGACTAGCGGTGATGTAGTTTCTGCTGACACGCTGGGACCAGCAAAGAGAAGACTGACCACTGTGTGAGATATGGGTTCCCCATTCTTGGCATTGCACTTAGCACTGCCTTTCAGTAAGTTACGGGGCCTCCTTGAGCAGGTCTGACCTGGGGTCTGGGCCAGCTTCTGCTACTTCAAAGGGAGAGGAGGTGCTGGAGCAGCAACAGCCCTTCATCTAAGGGTAACAGTGAAAGGGATGGCTTTAAGGTGGAAGGGGGAATCCACTAGCTATATCCATCAGTATCTGTCTGTGATGCTCCTAAAAGGAACTTAAACTTCCCAGAGGTAAACCCAGAAAGAGATTGGGCTGAAGTTCATGACCAACACCCTTACCTGGGAATCTGAAGGAGGAGAAGATAAAACTGATCTGCATTCGCTAGCTTTGATTTCTCTTCTTTGAAGGCCTTCAGGTTTTCTATCTAATGAGAAATAAAGAATCAAGACTGCAGGACTGTACTGCGTGTTCAGCTCTGTGAATTAAGGGTACCGTTTTTCCTCCTGACCTCATGCTTTTCAGGCAGAAGCTTCAGCAACTGCTTCAGAACCTCAACGTCGAATTTGGCCCGGTCCCCGTTCTGGACCATGGCAGTCACCTCTTCGTTGGAGCTGCAGGGAGAAGGAGCAGAATCAGCCATCACTCAAAGCTCCTTCTTCCACAATCACGTGCTACCAAGACATGTATCTGTGCAAGTGCTCCAAGCTTTCCCAAGCGAGAGACACAATAACCCAAAAGATCTGTCCCCATCATTAACTAAGAGTTAATGTGGATCCCTGCTACACCCCAAATTTTGTTTCTGGCCCTGGACAAATGACTCAAGGCCAAAGATCAATCTTGCAACTTGGATGATTGTCTCTGGGCATTTGATTACCTTAAAAGAAATATTTAATTCTTAACTTCTCCATTGGCCCTGTTTTGAGGAGGGGTTCATCCTCCAGAGGTGTGTCACAGCCTAAGTCACCCTAAGAATTTGTGCCACAACTTAATCTCTAACATGGACATGTGACACCTTTTCCAACTTACAGGAATGTTGTAGGTAAAAATGCAATTAAAACCCTAAACCAAATATTTCAAAGACAGTATAGGAGAAAGTGGGAAATGTTCAGATGTTTCAGTAACACAGACTACCAAGGCAGATTCACTGGAATAGATTTCATGAGGACCTTCCAGGTACTATGCAAAACCTGCTCAAAGTTTTGTCAACTGTCACGAAAATTGGCCATATCTTACCATTTAAATTGCTTCAAAAATATGTTCAAATTGAGACTTTTCTTGGAGTCCAAAAATGTGATCTTCATTAAAGAAAAAGAAGATATCTCGTATTAGATGAGCTGTCTGCAGTGATCTTTATTCGAAAGAACGAGAGGGACCTCCTCACCTCCTTCGGTTCTGCCTTCGCTGGTGCAGCTGTTTTCTCCTTGGGGGTTGGTTGTGGAAAGCAAAACAGCTGCTCTATGCTTGTGTAATTGGGCTCTATAGTTTCCTCGCTGCTGCTGCTCACCGAAGCCCACATTGAGTGACTTTCTGAAAAAAAGACGAGATGTTCAGACTGGCTACAGGGACAGCTGAAAGCTCCTGGCTCTTGGGGCAATGTGAGTTGCTAGAAGGGAAACTTCTCGAAAGATGAAAGAGGTAAGAAGACACACATTAGTCCTGAACAAATGCTAATTATTTAGGAGGGACAAGTCCCACAGGCAGGTTCCAAAGGGCCTGATGGGTAATTAAACCTGGTGCTTTACCCCAAGATGCGCTGGTAAGGGGATGCACCACTGGGCACAAAAAGGCTGTACAGTCCCATCCCTCCCTGTAAACTGCGTTCTCCTCCACGGTAGGCAAACCTGGTCAGCATGAAAAGGGTCTCAGCCATTTCTTTCCTAGTCCCATGGCTGATGTTATTTTCGCTTCCTTGCATGCTAACTGAGGGATTGACCACAACCTGGCTATTTTCTGACTGTGACCTTCCTCCATTTTTCATTTTACAATCAAGCCTCCTTGTATAATGCTGGCTGTAGGACTGCTTGAATTAATTCCTACTGCATTTTCTTAAACATCTTTTTTTTTAAAAAAAAAACCCCATCACCCAAACGTGCCTGTAGAAATCTCTACTGAAATAATCCCAACAATTAACTGTTCCTGTTTTGAAAACATGCCTTATTTAGATTTCACCTATGCCAGCTTCCGTGAAGTGGATGCCTTGCTTGTCTAGGACAAAGCTGACGTTGCCTGTCCTGGCTTCTTACATTTCATGATTCTCTTTGGATCCACTAGGACAGGGAAAGGTAACCCAAAAATCAAGAGACAAGTCAATGATTGTCATGGATCTCCAATTCTTTCAATGTCCTGCTTGAACTGTGATGGGATCCTTACCTGCACTCTTTAATATACTTCAATATAACTTCAATATACCCAGATGCAAGTACAGGTGAACTGGAGAATGAAAGTCTGGGGAAACCAGATCAGAGCCTGTTGAGAACTCAAGCCTAAGGCATGTCATGGTGGACTAGGGAAATATTCCCATCCCTCCCCTTTCTTTTAATTTCAAAGTATTTTAGTTATAAACAAGCTATTCGTAACTACTGATTTAGCTGGAATTATTATTATATTATATTATATTAGTAGTTTCATGACACTTTTATTTATTTAAGCTCTCAGGACAGAGTTAATGGAAATCAGGGAAGTTCTGTACCTAAATGGAGTCAACCACACCTGATAAACTCAAAGACAGTGTCACCCCTAAAGCAGCAGTGACTTTATGACAGAAGAACCCACCTCTCACCACGTTGGATGGCAGCTTCTGCCAGTTCAGCTTCTTCATTCTCAATGTTGGTGTCTTCACCGTCTTGCGGGGAGGCCTGCCCGAGCCAAGAGGGCAGCTGAATTGGGAGGCTACC